GGGTACTGGGGGAAATAGACAAAAGGGTATACCGGGAGGAGAAGGCCTGTTGCAGAAGGATTCTTCGTAAGACTAAGGCTGATTACAAGCTGAGACTTGCCAAGAATATCAAGAGCAATGAAAAGGGCTTCTTTCAGCATGTAAATAGGAAGAGGAAGGGGAGACAAGTGGTGGGACCACTAAATAAGGAGGAAGGAGATCCAGTGACTGATATGAGGGAACAGGCACAGATGCTAAATGACTATTTTGCCTCTGTGTTCTCCCCAAAGCAGGATGGGGGATATCCGCATAGGAGATTAGATGAGGCTGGGGACTTAGGGGAACAGATTTGAGTCACTCCCCTTGAAGTCAAGTGGATCCTCAGGGCATTGGACATTACAAAGGCACCAGGACCTGAGGGGTTACACCCAAGAGTACTTAGAGAGTTGGCAGGGGTTCTCTCACACCCTCTGGCCTCCATTTTTGAGACCTCGTGGAGAACGGGTGAAGTTCCAGAGGACTGGAGAGTGGCATCAGTGGTCCCAATTTCAAAAAGGGTAGTAGAAAGGACATGGGGAATTATAGACCAGTTAGCCTTACATCCATGGTAGGAAAAACAATGGAAAGGCTCATAACAGAGAGAGATCTAGTGATGCTAGATAGGGAAGGGAGGCTGACAGCCACACAACACGGCTTCCGCAAAAACAGGTCCTGCCAGACAAACCTTGTGGAATTCTATGACAAGGTTTCGAGATGGCTAGATGGAGGGGATGCAGTGGATGTTGTATACCTGGATTTCAGCAAGGCCTTTGACAAAGTGCTCCATGATATCCTGGTGGAGAAACTGAGGCGTTTTGGGATACACCAAGGCACTGTCCGGTGGATTAGGGCATGGTTGACTGATCGAAAGCAGAAGGTAACCATTAGCGGGGAATCATCGGGATGGCGGCCAGTAACAAGCGGGGTCCCCCAGGGCTCTGTCCTGGGACCGATCCTGTTTAAGCTTTTCATTAATGACATGAAAGAAGGGGTGAACAGTCTGCTGATCAAATTCGCAGACGACACTAAAACTGGAGCAGTGGCCACAACTGAGGAGCAGGTACTCCAGATCCAAAAGGATCTGGACAGACTATGGAAGTGGGCAGGAGACAACAGGGTGGCGTTCAATGTGGATAAGTGCAAGGTCTTGCACTTGGGGCATAGGAATAGCTGTCATAAGTACAGGTTAGGTGACAAGTGGCTGGAGAGCAGCACTTGTGAAAGGGACCTCTGGGTACTGGTTGACTGCAGGCTAAACATGAGTCAGCAGTGTGATGCAGTGGTCAAGAGGACGAACGCCACTCTTGGTTGCATAGCCAGAGGTGTGGCTTCTAGAGCAAGAGAGGTATTACCACCACTCTACACGACTCTGGTGCGCCCGCAACTGGAGTATTGTGTTCAGTTTTGGGCCCCTCATTACAGAAAGGATATAGCCAGGTTGGAGTCAGTGCAGCGTAGGGTCACAAGGTTGGTGGCCGGTTTGCAGGGGATGCCGTATGAGGCGAGACTGAGGGAACTGGGTCTCTTCAGCCTGGAAAAGAGGAGACTCAGAGGGGATATGCTGGCGACATACAGGTATGTGAGGGTATGTCACATGGAGATGGGTTGAGACCTGTTCTCCCCCGCAGAGGAAGGCAGGACACGCTCCAACGGAGCAAAGCACAGGGGGCCAAGGTTCCATTTGGATGCCAGGAAGCACTTCCTGACAGTCAGGACCCCGAGGGTGTGGAATGGGCTTCCACGAGAGGTCGTTGAGGCCCCATCGGTGCGGGTGTTCAAGGATAGGCTGGACATCCACATGGTGGGCATGTCGTTAGCAGAGCCGGCTGGTGCTGGAGGTCTGACTAGATGGCCAGGGAGGCCCCTTCTGACTCGCTCTGTTTCTATGTTTCACCTGTACTATTCGATGATTCTATGACCTCCAGGTGCCCAGGCACCCATCTGACTTTTCTCATTGCAAAACGCCATCCCACAAAAAGCATATAAAGACTTGGCTGACATTTTATACAGGAGAAACCAGGAAAACAACCACCCCCCAAAAGTACTTATTTGCTTAATGCATTCCTCAGCTGTTTTTCAAGACCACAGTCTAAACACATTAGTCAATTTGAAAAATGGTCCTAGTCAGCACTACAGAAGAGCTACCCTGAAAGACATGGGCAATTGTTGCACATGCCTAGACACCTTCAGCCATGGAGCAGTATAGAAATTAGTTAACTGATTGATTGAACTACCCAAAAGACTTGATTAACAAAGGAAGAGGTGAGAGCTGACTAAAACAACTCCATGGAATCCAGAATTTTCAGCACCAACAGAAGCCTATTTCACAATTCCAGCTGCCAGTAAGAAAATTGTTTGTTCGGTTATTTTTTTATGTGGAAGGTTGGTCCCTTCCTGTCCCTCTTTTTGCAAGTGCCAAGAAAGGATTCTGGGAGCACACCTGTGCCATGGGTCCCTGGCCTAAAGGTGCATGCTGTTCCAGAGAACTGTTCCCATTCACTAATCCTGATATACAACTCTGCACTTTTTTTACTTGACATATTGTACTCCTGCTCTAGCTGCATGATCATACTTCTCTCCCAGTATAATCTTTTATTGATTTCAATAAGAACTGACCCTTTGATTTTTAATGTCTTAAGAAAGGCCTGCATTCAATGAAGTCGTTGCTAACTGATATATTTTCTTCAATGATAGTTTTAATGGGTTTTGTTAGCTTAACCGCATATTTATATTTGATATTCCAAACTGAAGTTGCCACAAGAGATGTATATCTGACTGTCAGGATACAAGTCTTAGAATAAATAAAATAAATTATCTAGATTAGTCAGAAAACTAATTTTTCATTCTAAAGTGATACCTGATAAGGATCTTGAGATTTATGTGCAGATAATAACCAAGATTAGAGACAACTATTAGCACCCAGCAACAATTTACCTTGACAGTATTTAGTATGCATTTACTTTCTACATTTAAATACCCCCTTTCTTCCATCATGGACCTTAGGTGGCTACAGGGGATTCCAGGGAGGTCACCTGCACCTGGCAAGACCTGCTTAGCTTCAGCCAGGTGGCTGCCTCATGTGTCTTCACACCATGCCTGGGAAGTGAGTATGCCAACCATGGATGGGCCCTGCAGCCCCAGTACCAAACTAGCCTCAGAGCTTGTGCTATAGCCCCAGAACCTGCTACCCCTGTGGCACCCAGATGCTCAGCAAAGCACTCAGCAGCCCACAGCAAAAAGAGGCATACGCAGTAGGAAGGAGGAAGGGACTTGAAAGGGGCAAGTCTGGACAGGAAAGAGGTGGTCACCTGATTGCTTTGGCCCAGAAGAGATCTGAGGCGATGGACAAGAGAAAGAAATCTGGGTGTTCCCCAGAGTGCAGAAGAGACGCATCCTCAAGAGCATCAGAGAAACTGGCTAATTATTCCTATCTTGCTGCTCATACTGCACAGCTTGGGGGCAGGAAGGGAAATATAATGGAAGAGCAGAAAAAAAGGAGGAAGACAAAATACCACCTGTAATCCAGCACTAGTGACCAGTTCCCAACCCCCAGGGATATGTTTGAGAGCAGTGAGGTCAGCCCGGAAAGCCACCACATGGTGTGGATTGGGCACAGCGGCAGCACCTGGGATGTGGAGAAAGGGGGGCAGTTACCTCTGGCTGGAAGCTGGCTTTTGCCCGTCGCTTCTGGCCACTCCCCTTGGCTCCCTGCCGCCCCACCTGCTTGATCCTGGCTGGCTTGCGGCTGCGGCCACCGTAGGCGTTCCTCCTCCTCCTGACCTTCCAGCCCGCTGCCGCTGCCCCCTCCGCCTCTGGGCTGCTCCACTCCTCAGGAAGCAGCCGCTTCTAGGGAAGGGAAGAGAAGAGGGAGATACGAAGAGGAGCGAGCTGTGGAGGCAGCAAGCGGCAGATGTGGGAACAGGAGCCCTAGCCCGAGTCAAGCAGCACTGTTGCTTGGCCTGCTCCTGCTGGCAACCGCTAGTCTTCTGCAAGCCCAGCTATCCCCTTCCTATGCCCCACGCTTGCTACCTGCAACCCACCCATCCTTGCAAGCACACCCCAAGGCACCCCAGAGCAGCTCCAGGTATGTGAGAGCAGGTCTTCCCTTCAGCCTCCCACAAAAAGCTGCAAGGCACAGACAAAGGCACAGCTCAGACCAAAACAACAGGGAAGGAGTGGAGGATTGCAAACCAAGACCAGGGGTCTTTGAGAAACTGGTGTAAACAAGAGGGCTACAATCAAGGGTTCTAGAAGTCCACTGAATCTCCAGGTCTCTGTGACTAAATAAAGCAACTTGGCCAGAATTCTTGAAGCTGCAAGTTTTGCTTTCTAGAGAGCATAAGTTTCTAGCCCTCAGTGCTGAAAAAATGTCAAATTTTGCAGAAAAGGGGGAGTGGAATGGTCAGACTGGAGCTACTTGATGCAGTTTGAACACCAGCCAGTCGCCACTGCTGCCCACCAGGTATCTCTGCTCTCTACCTTGTTTCCTCAGACAAAACTGCTAACACTAGGAAAAGAATCCCAAAGTTGTACAAACATGCACAGTCTATGAAGCAAATAAAGCAAATATATGCACATTTTCCAGTCTGCACAGTTTATGCCATTGTAAGATGCGAGCAGGTTGGGTGCAATGGTCCTGAGTTCCCTTGGCTGTGAATTACATGGGCACACTGCAAAATTAAGAAGCTTCCAGAGGTGCTGGTTTTGTCTTCTATATAATGGGTTGAAGTCTTTTGACCTTTACAATTCTTTATTCACTGAGATTTTCTGTTGGCAAGTCTTTCTAGAGACAACCAGTCTGTCTGATTCCCTCCACCACATATACAACACACTTAATCCCTACCCACAACATCCCCATTTTCATTTGTCTGAATTCAATAGCACCTGTGGACTTTTGCCTCTTATTTTTACTGTGGATCAGTATGGCTCTCTTGTTTATGGTCTTGGGACTATGTGCAGGAAGACTAGCACATGAGACTATTAGGCAGAACAGGCCAGGACTAGCGCTCAGAGGCAGGTGGGGTAGAAGAGCAGTCAGGTAAATATCAACCAAGGCAGGATGAGAAAAGTAACAAAGGGTCAAGCCAACTGTGGCTCAGTACCTTTCCCAGAGCTCTCTGCCCTCATGGTTGCAGAAAAAAATTATTGGTGGCACCCCAGTATGTGCTTAATCTGTCCATGTGTCTCTTTCTGCATCTCTTCTAGACTGCCATCTCCCATTTCACCCACCTACAAACAGGACTGAAATGGTAATTCAGTCTCCAGCCGTGTGTACCCTGTACTGAGCACAGAACACAGATTCCTAAGAAACTCAGCATTCATTATGAGTGAGATCTTTATAACCAGAAGAATATCGAAAGCTTTCATGTAATATTTTTAAGTCAGTTTCTAGCCTTTATCATTATAATATTTCCAGAGGTGAGCAGTGCCTTTTGTTGCTTCTTAACCTAACTAAAGCAGGATAAATCACACAAGTTTCCTTAGTTAGTATAATGTATGCAAGGTGCAGAATCCACCTTTGTTGACTGAATTTGGATTGACAATTCCATTTTAAGTTCTCCTTTAAAAAGCCAACAAACATGGATCATACATAGCCTTGACCAGTTTTTAATAAGGACCAAAGTTGTACCTCTTGCTGGCATCCAGACTATTCAAAAACAACTGCCTTGGAGACCATTTAAGCGGGCACAACTTTCCTATATTCAGAAAGGATTGAGTAAAGTACCCTTGCAGATAAAGCTCACAAAATATTGACATGCCTCTGCATCCATACATGATGTGAGTCATTAGAGGCACATTAAAACAACCTAAGTAAAGTAGAGGCAGCTTTCTTTCCAAAGGCTTTGCTCTCCAACTGCTTGGAAATTTTGGTTTGCCACAAGCCAAGTGGCTATTTAAGAGATTTAAAGTGCAAGCCCATGCATGCTATGCAAGAAAAACATCCTATGACTCCCAGCATTTTGTATCTTAACATGTTTAACGTATTTTTCTCCTTCAATTTAACAGGCAAAAATATGAGTGAAATCCACACAACTGCTTGGAGATCCTCTTTAAGATTCTTCTTAGCAGCAATTTATGTTAAGTATTCAATTCTATGCATGTTTAGACAGGAAAAAAAATCTTATTCAACCCAACATTCTTTAGCCAGCACCAAATGCTGGGGAACTGTAGGACTTCTTTCTGTCTAAACACGCATCGGATCGCGTCCTGTCTTTTTCCACATTCTGAGGAACTACTCATGCAATTATCTTTGTTTGTTTGCCTTTGCAACTGAAAACATAATACAAAAATTAAAAACACACAAGCAAACCTTGGTAGGGATGGCTGGCAGCCCGAAGATTTATCAAGGACAACCACATTTCCCAAATCACAGGAAGTCCTTCATATGGTAAGCTTCAACCATTCAAACCAGCAGAATGCAGAAGGAATATTACATCCAGGCCACCAGCAGAACAGAAAGCTACAGCAGACTAGGGCAAGTGAGCAAGCTCTGTATCACACGTTCAGATATAGGAGAGGGGCAGGCAGCCAATGCACAGAGTTTATGGACTCCCCCCTGCCACCTTGAACTGGGATAATGTTTGCTCTTAAACAAACTGGTGATCAGGAAGACCCAGGTCATGAAGCAATCAACTGCTCCCCGCAACCATCAGGAGAATGTTAATTTGATTTGAAGAGCATCCAACATCACTTTTACTATACATCTAGCAGGATTAGATGCTGTTCAGAAAAAAGGTCTTGGGTAAGGACAAGAGTCTTCCATCAGTGACATCATGACTGAAGCACCAGAAAGAAGGCCTAGCAGGTATTCTTTCTATAAAGCTCCTGTGGGCAGTCCTAACCTGAGCTGAAACCACATTTTAAGGTCACCAGGTAAGATCTTCCAGACTACGTTTCATACACATCACTGAATAAGGGAAGAGCCTACCAGGCTGAAATACCATGGTTAGGTTACAGCACAATCAGAAATCTTTGCCACCACAGATTTCTGGTATTCTGATCAGCCACTCTCTTACATAGAGGCAACTTAGTACCACAATTTGTGTGACCTGCTCAGGAAGCAAGTCATCTACATGCAATGCAGTCATAACAGAGCCAAGTGGGCATGTCTTCACCTCTGGTTCTGTCTCAGTTCCTACCAGTTCCCAGCCATGCGGCAATTTAGCCCAATTTAGTCCATAGGTGCAGCAAATGGAACAACCTTTGAATTCATTTCTCCATCAGGGAAATAACAACTACTGCTAACCAGGGGCAGAGCTATCTTACTAAGGAAAAGGATGATTCCAGGAACTTCAACTCTGGGCACTGGCTATGCTGGGAAAGGGGATGTCAAACAGACTGATCAAGATGGGCTTTGGGAAAGTTTTGTCTGTAAGCCTGTTTCACAAAAAATAATGCTCCCGTGCTATTCTCATTCAGGTGTGTCTACAATGTACCATATCATGGCCATACTGGCTCTTGAGTGAGGTGAGAAATAGATATTTGGCTTATCTTGTAAGAAACTCCAGAATTAATTCAAATATATGGCAGGAGATGCCATGGTGTATTTCACAAGGAGGTTTTTGGCTTGAGAAGTGAGAATAAAGGAGCAAAGGATATGAAAAAGGTTTATCAAAATTTCAAACCAGGTAGAGACAGGGAAAGATTTATCACCCTCTCAGTGTCGTATCTTGAGATGACTGGAAGTCGGGTCAGAATATACAAAAGTCCATCTTTACACAGTACATTTCACTAACATGAAAGGTAGTCTAAGATGGCCTCTATGACTACTTTTGGAGCAGCAGTTCCTTGCTTTAACTTCACTCCCCACCCTCTCTGCAAAATTTATTTTTTGTAGTTTAGTATCTTTTTGTTAAAAAAAATCTGCCAAGAAGGCTATGGGGGGGGGGTGATAAGGGGTCACAGCTGTTGAGTCCTTTGTGACAGCTAAGTGGAACCAGAATGTACAGAAACAGTAAAGACCTGAGTACCACATGGGGGAGACAAACAGAAAGCCATGCTCTGTTTGTGAGCTCGCAAAGAGGGCATCTATTTGATTGCTGTTGGAAACAGGATACTGGACTCCATGGACACTGGTCTGGTCTATCAGGGTAAAGGTTAACACAGCTGGATGAAACATGCATAAGCACACAAACACACACAGTGCCATCAAAGCTGTATGCCAAGAAAGCCACACGGAGGGTTGAAACTAAAGAAAAGCAGGGTTTCTTAGCAGCTTGATGAAAGTAAGTCCCATTATTGACTTCCATGACTGGCATAAAGGGAAAAACCGAGTTACAACACACATTTGCAGAAAAGCAAGCAAGCAGCAACAACAGAGGACAGAGCGGGCATGGCAATAAGAGGGGACAGAGGGGTGGATGAAGGCAGCACCAACCATTGCAAACTGCAGGCACTGTCTCCATCGGCACTTCTGGCGCTTGAGATTTTGTCCACCAAACTTGGGTTTGTCACAACAGAAGTCACAGCGACCACAGTCTGTTTTCAGCAGGCAGGCCTCACACTCACCACACTTCCGGTTTTGACGGCTTTTGGAGGCATTCTATGGAAAAAGAGGAAGAAAACAAGCAGAAGCCAGGAGGAAGGTGACCTAAGCCCAGAATGGAGTAATGTGATATGGTGCCCAAATGACAAGAGTGAGGATCTTATATTATGAGAAGGCTGGAAGGTAGTGCATCCAGAAAACAACCAAAACACCCATATTCCTGTTTGAGCTATCTAAGGCTTTTGCCCCTTGAAAGAATTTTTAAAGTGTGAGGCAGGCTTCTGTGGGGAATAACCAGCAGTCACTGAAGCAGCAGAAATTGTTCTTATTGAGTGGCCACCTTTATTGGCAGGCTGACACCCATAACAGCCTCATTCATATCACTGTGAAATAGGGAGCAGCATCATTCTGGGCCTTGTTAAATGTTAAGTGATCACAAGGGCAGAGGAGGCGGCCTCCACATCAGGGTCATCAGATATTTTCACAGAGCCACAGTGAGTCAGTCTGTAGATTCAGTCAGTACAGCCTTTGATCTGGCCAGAATGATCCTAGGATGCTGCCAGAAGAGTAAGCTAGCCTTTAGGACAGCGGTCACTAATCTGTGACTCTCCTGACATTGTTAGACTGCAACTCCCATCAGCTCTACTGAGCAAAGCCAATGATGAGTGCTACAATCCAGTATCAGGAGGGATGCCCCTGCATTGGACAGCGGTCCATAGCAATTAGCACAGCTTAATTGTCACATAACAAGGAGTGGGGGATCATAATCACTCTTCAATTAGCTTGCCCATTCTCTTTCCTTCTTAGCAGCAAGCTTGCCAAGTGTCAAGCAGGCTTGGCTTGTTAAATAACAATTAATCATTCACTACCATGCCTGCTTCTTTCCAAAGCAAAAAGTTTAACCTCATCTGGATCATGACACAACCACAGAACTTCACAGAGTACTCTGACATACCCATTCACTATCATTCCTGCCACTTCCTGTACTCCACTAGCTCCTAATGCTGTTATATCCTATTTTGGTGAAACCCTGGCAAACTCAGTCCCAACTCAGTCCCCATCATGTGACTGGAAGAGGAAAGGGAAGATTTCTATTTGTGACCCCTGCATATGAGCACATCAGGAAGAGCTTTTCAGTCTATCCATGTCCAGCTCAGATCGTCCTAGTGACAAAGAAAGTTTTGCTTACTTTAGTGCTCTTGTGCTTGGTTGTGGGATGCTTGGGGGGACGGCCCACCTTCTTCCTTTCTTTCACTGCTCCCAACTGTTTCTTCTGTTGCAAGGAAACCAATGTGAGTTAGTAACTGTCCAGGATGCAGTCTCAACTGTTCACAGAATTAACATCCCAGAAAGTGTCCATGATGGAAAATACTGATGTTCTTCTACTACAGCAAGACTCCTAATCCAGCATTTCAGGTCCTTCTGTATACCTTGTACATTCAAGACCTGGTCATCAGTCATCAGGGGCTTTGACAAGACTTGTGTAAAAGCATATGGAATAAACACAGGGATAGAGCTAATGAGAAACCAGGATCCCAGGCGGAGGAAGCAATTTCAGTCTGATTGATATATTACATATTTAAAGTATTTTATGCCATTCCTCAGCAACCCCCAGAGACTCCCAGAGCAGCTTACATTCAATCAGTAAAAGACTAAACGCTAAACAGCACATCCCATGCAGAGTTCAGCCTTTATGATAATGTGAATTCAGCTCCTGCAAGCAGAGAGGAGCTCCCTTTTCCCAGGAGAAAATGCACACTGTAAATGTGCACATTGCACACGGAATCATATTTAATCCTTCACATATGGGACAAAATAAAACTAGTTAGCAACTAGTCCAGTGACATGATCAGTTTGAATTGCAGCGATATCACCATTAGCTGAACTGAAACAAAACATATTTTACCCCCAAACAAACCACAGAAATATGTAAAGAAGAGGAGTTAGGATGGATAGGCTCTATTCTCTATTTCTTTATTTGAAAAAATTTAGATCAAAATAATTTATCCACCTCCTTCATGGATTACTGCCTTGTTGTGGCAAAGGGGCTTGCGTAGCTCAATGAAGCTATGAGCTATGCCATGCAGGGCCACCCAAGATAAACAGGTCATAGCAGAGAGCTCTGACAAAACGTGATCCACTGGAGAAGGAAATGGCAACCCACTCCAGTATCTTTGCCATGAAAACCCCATGGACAGTACCAAAAGGCAAAAAGATAAGACGCTGGAAGATGAGCCCCTCAGGTCAGAAGGTATCCAATATGCTACTGGGGAAGAGTAGAGGGCTAGGACTAGCAGCACCAGAGAGAATGAAGTGACTGGGTCAAAGCTGAAAGGACACTCAGTTGCAGATGTATCTGGTGGTGAAAAGAAAGTCCAGTGCTGCAAAGATCTATATTCCATAGGAACCTGGAATGCAAGATCCATAAAGCAAGGCAAGCTGGACATGGTCAAACAAGAAATGAGAAGACTGAACATCTTAGGAATCAGTGAACTAAAATGGACAGGAATGGGTGAATTTAATTCAGATAACCTTCAGGTATACTACTGTGGGCAAGAATCCCTCAGAAGAAATGGAGTAGCCTTCATAGTCAATAAAAGAGTAGGAGAAGCAGTACTGGGATACAATCTCCAAAAGGACAGAATGATCTCAGTTCGAATCCAAGGCAAACCATTCAACAGCACAGTAGTCCAAGTCTATGCCCCAACCACTGGTGCTGAAGAGAATGAAGTTGACCGGTTCTATGAAGGCCTACAACACCTTCAAGAATTAACACCCAAAAATGATGTCCTTATCACCATGGGGGATTCGAATGCTACAGTAGGAAGCCAAAAGATAACTGGAATAACAGGCAAGTTTGCCCTTGGAGTACAAAAAGAAGCAGGGCACTGGCTGGCAGAATTTTGTCAAGAGAATATCATGGTCATAGCAAACACTCTTTTCCAACAACCCAAGAGACAACTCTACACATGGACATCACCAGACGGTCAACACAGAAATCACACTGACTATGTGCTCTGCAGCCATAGATGGAGAAGCTCTATACCAGACCTGGGCATTGTATGGCCCGCGGGCCACATCCAGCCCGATGGCTGAGCCCGACTGGCCCGCATGAGGTCACTGGCAAATTAAAAGTCAATGCAAATATATTTCGTCGTAATATAGATGCAAGCAATACAACTGCACTGGTTTTATTTTGAAGGATCTGCTAAATTGAATTGAATTTATTGTTTTTCATGTAATGTTAATGTTAATGTTTTTGTGAACATTCATAGTGTTGTTCTGTGCGTCACATTTTCATTGTATCTTTGTAATGTTTCATTTACTGTTTTTATAGAGATATATATTGAGCAGACCTGTAAGTGTATTGGTCTGACCCTTAACAACTGTCACAGTTTCTCATGTGGCCCCATAGGAAAATTAATTGCCCACCCCTGCTCTATACAGTCAGTAAAAACAAGACCAGGAGCTGACTGTGGCTCAGATCATGAGCTTCTCGTTGCAAAATTGAGGCTTAAACTGAAGAAAGTAGGGAAAAGCACTAGGCCACTCAGGTATGACCTAAATCATATTCCTGATGAATATACAGTAGAGGTGACAAATAGATTTAAGGAATTGGATCTGATAGACAGAGTGCCTGAAGAACTATGGATGGAGGTTTGCAACACTGTACAAGAGGTAGCAACTAAAACCATCCCAAAGAAAAAGAAATGCAAGAAAGCAAAATGGCTGTCTGAGGAAGCTTTACAAATAGCTGAGGAAAGAATGGAAGCAAAAGGCAAGGGAGAAAGAGAAAGATACACACAACTGAATGCAGAATTCCAGAGAATAACTAGAAGAGATAAGAATGCCTTCTTAAATGAACAGTGCAAAGAAATAGAAGAAAACAATAGAATAGGGAGGACCAGAGATCTCTTCAAGAAAATTGGAGATATGAAGGGAACTTTCATGCAAAGATGGGCATGATAAAGGACCAAAATGTCAAGGACCTAACCGAGGCAGAAGAGATTAAGAAGAGATGGCAGGATTACACAGAGGAACTATACAAGAAAGAGCTTAATGTCCCTGATAACCATGATGGGGTGGTCAGTGACCTCGAGCCAGACATCCTGGAATGTGAAGTCAAATGGGCCTTAGGAAGTCTGAGCAACAACAAAGCTAGTGGAGGTGACAGTATTCCAGCTGAGTGATTCAAAATCTTACAAGATGATGCAGTAAAAGTGCTACACTCAATATGCCAGCAAACTTGGAAAACTCAACAGTGGCCACATGATTGGAAAAGTGCAGTTTACATTCTGATCCCAGAGAGGGGCAATGCCAAAGAATGTTCAAACTACTGCACCATTGTGCTCATTTCACATGTGTTATGGAGTTACTATAACTACCAATGGCAGTATCGCATTGCTCTTATACTTCCTGTTCCTGTCCTTTACCTTTGTCCCGGATGCAATAACACAGTGCTTCATGACTCCTCGGACTAACAGCTTGCAGCGTCATCCTTTCTGTACATGAAACATGGTGTCAGAAGTGACTCGAATCTGGATAGAGCCTCTTGTTTGGAGTGCAGCAACCTCGGGACACAGCACTGATTTGTCAGTTACAGTTTGAGACCGTTTATTGTGCGTTTTCTGCTACTGGAGGGCTGTGAGGCCTACTGACCTCATGGCTGCCATGAATTGCATACCTCCCCCAGAGGGGATGAAAATCGGTGGGGACTGTAGCAGCAACTGGGAAACTTTCAGAGTTGAATTTGAGGATTATTTAATGGCTACAGGGCTGAATGCGAAACCTGCGGCAGTGCAGGCAGCCACTCTGAGAAGAGTCATGGGCAGTGAATGCAGGCATGTGTATAAGCACAATCTGAACCTCTCAGCAGAGCAGCAAGAGAATGTTACAGCCATTCTGGATGCACTAGAAGCTTATTTCAAACCTGCTAAAAATGTCATTTATGAAAGATACGTGTTTGGATGCTGCAAACAAGAGGAGGGAAAATCTCTTGACAACTTAACAAACTTGACAACTTAACTCACTTACGAGAAAAAGCAGCTACTTGTGAATATGGCACCCTGAAAGATGAAATAATAAGGGACAAAATTGTTCTTGGTATATCTAGTGAGAGCACATGCAGGCGTTTTCTAAGAGAGCGCAACTTAACACTAAACACAGCTACTGAAACGTGTCGTACAGCAGAGCTTACTGACAGACATCTGAAAGTGATGGAACAGGACAGACAGAGTGACAGCATAAACGTTGCAATGCAGTGACAGCACATAAGCAAACTGCAAGGACAGCAACACACGCTTAGAGCAAATACTGCCAACTCTACAGCATGCAAATATTGTGGGACTGTGCATCAAAGAATTAAAGAGCAGTGTCCAGCATATGGGAAGTCTT